TTTGTTTCTTTCCCGCCTTTTAAAACTGTTTTGGTGTCTGTTTTTGAGAGTGAGAAATGAGAACTGCGATTGGGCTATATTTATACTTAAAAAATGTAGCTACTTTTTTCTTAAATATAATTTGCATATACTGAACTAAATATTCGTACTCTTACCAACCCTGATATTTCAAAATTATATATAAGTCAAGAAGATGGTTGGGACGTAAATGTCATCGATGATAAAAAATAAAAACTAATCGGAACGAAAAGCTTGGCTCATGCCACAGTTGGTGGTTCCAAATTTTAGCTACTTGACATTTTCTTTAGGCATCTATAATTATATTTGGTTTTGTTTGTTTTTTCTTTGTCTTTTTGACATTCTTTAAGGTTATCATATCACAAGAAAAAAACTTTCTTGATATTGTGCACTCTTCAAAAGCCAACTATCAAGGCAACCACGGTGGAATTTGTGCATGTAATCTCGTAGCCTAACATAAACCAATCTAGACGAGATAAATTAAGAAGTCAATTAAACAAAAAAAAAATTGATTAAAAGTTGAAGGAAAACACACAAAAATTAGAGTTCATCATGATCAAAATAGTCTTCGTCGTCCAGTTCTTCGTGATGAACTGCCTTGTAAAACACATCTTCGTGGTGCAACATCTCTTCAAGTGATAGTTTACCATCTTTATCCTCATCCGCCTACACAAATAAAATAAAATGAATTGTTGGACGTTAGAAATTTAAGCAATATACACATCTACTTAGCATAGTTGTAATCACATTACGAATGTTCTTGAAATCGGTTTAAGACAATAACATATACACACACTATTAATGAATGTCAAAGTTATGAGAAAAAAAAAAGAGTTAAGATTAAGATTTAGGTTGGAAGAGACTAACCTCGTGGCAAAGGAAAGTAGAATAGTATTTGGCATAACTCATCTCACCAGGTTGAAGATAATGCAAAATGGGTCGAAGCTCATTGGCCACGAGGAATCTGTCTTTGTTCCTGTCCAGCTCCGCGAACAGAAGCTGAGCTGTTGGCACATTCTCATCCTCCTCTGTCTCGAACTTTGCGAATTCTTTATACATTTCGTATGTGTTCTGTACAAACTCTTTGTACTCTAGCTTCCCATTACCGTTCGTGTCCATGCCCCTATTTATTACATATATCAAACAACACAAACGACGACGTTGTTTCCTAGTTAAGCTTCATTTATGATCATATTGAAACAAAAATTATCACAAAATGCTTACGTCATTCGCTCCCTTAGAACCCATCTTTGAGTATCTCCGTTTCTGCTGTCTTCAGGGTGCAAGAAACTGCAAATCCCATATTTTCATTCATTTTTTATTTCTGAAATTTTTACAAGGAAATGAGATTTTTCGGAGTATAATAATTACTTGTTGAACTCTTCAATGTCGAGGGAGCCATTATGATCAAAATCGGAATTCTTGAATTGCTCCATCCACCAACCGGCTTCACCGTGACCCTTCTCGTTTTTCTCTGTTTCCATATTAGTTATCATTGTTTTTTGCATAATGAAGAAGAAAATTCTCGAAGGATCAAAGACAAGTTAATATATTACCAATGTCTTGCTTAGAGAATTGAGGCAAGTACTCTTCAAAGGTTATGACACCGTCCTTGTCCTTATCTTGTAGCTCAAGCTCTTTGGCGGTTCTGTAACCCATGTTGTCCTCTGTCTGCTGCATCATCCATGTCTGAAGCTCTTTCAAGCTCACGAAGCCATCTCTTGGTGACGCGTCAAGCAGAGGGAACAAGAACTTGATCCTCATTGTCGTGTTAAGCCTTCTCTCTTGTGCAAAATACTCCTCAAACATATCATCTTCCTCCTCCTTTGCAGCCTCCACGGTCTTCGTACCAGCTTCTTTCTCATGAGACAACCGCTCGATCCGGGTCACCAGAGGGTCAAATACGGGCATTTCAAGCCTGCGTCCAATGCGGCGGCTTATGAGACCCTCAATGGATTGAGTCCGGTTTTGTTTCTTATGAGCGAAGAGGACGAGGACGATGAAGGTGGCAGCTAGTATCGCATAAACCACCACCTTGGCCATTTTCCGGGAGCCAAAGGTGGGGTTCTATGGAGAGAAGACGAAAGGGCCACGAAGATTGCTAATTCTGTTTTTGCATTTGCTTTATTGGGGTTATCCGTAAATCATTAATTTATGTTCTATCAACCGTTTTTTGCCGCCAAAGTCGGTTATTTATTTGTTGAGAATCCAATGACTCCCTCTCTCTATATGTATATATGTGTATGTATATAGCAAACCAATAAAAACCGGTTACGATATATGTCATAAAGCCTGAAGGAACAAAAGATTGTTGCAATGTAAGAAGAAAGAAATTAAAGAACAAGACTTGGAAACATCCAAGTTATATAGTGTTGGAACGATATGGAAAGTTTAAAGTAAAGAAAAGCTTCTTACTAAGTCATTTGATCATATACATTGCGGGATTAGAGAAGACGTGGTTAGTATTTGTTTAGTCTGTCTGCTTTGCAGAATCTCGGAGCCAGGGCCAGTCTGATTCACAGAGATCGAGGGGGGAATTTCCATCCTCATCTTTAGCGGCTGTGTTTGCTTTCTGTTTCACCAGAAACTCGGCGATGGCTTCTCTGTCGCATACAACAGCGTAATGCAAAGGGGTTTGGCCTTCGTTGTCCTGTTCAACACAATAACCAGAAACACATAAATAAAGAAGTTGCTACATTTGCAGATTATGACTAGGTAGGAATTTCTCTTTCTTCACCTTAGCATTCACATCAGCGTTCTTATCGACCAGAACTTTGGCGATGTTGAGGTGGCCACGGTCAATAGCCCAGTGCAACGGTGTGCGACCTTCACTGTCTGGAGTTTACGGAAAATTAGAAAGCAAATCCAACATCACGAGAATGAACTTCCAAGAAACGGAATATACAAGCAGAGACTAACCCCTTGCATTTACAGGAATGCCGCTTTCAATGCTTTTCAGCAAATTGTCGACTTCTCCTTCTCTAGCAAATCCGTGTATGGCATCAATCTTCCTGAGAGATAAAACAAAAGTTCAATGAGCAGAGGATTAGTGTTTCATTCAGACAGACAGGAAATAACGAACAGCTCAAAGTTCCATGAGACAATTGTAGCAGCTAGAACGAGACAGTAATGTTACATATTCACCGAGTTTATGAGCCTCTAATCTCACAACAGACTTATATCTAATCTAGACATGAACGCAAGGATCAGGAAGTAAAACACATGAGAATACAAGAAGAGAACCTTACAACTCATTTTCGGATTCCTCATCATAAACCAACGAGCTAAAAACTGGTCCCATGGATCCTCTTGAGTTGGAGGCTGCATCATCCCTACCCCGACTTCCGGCTTTCTGTTAGGGAAGCTCACATGAACAGTCCAGAGGAATAAAACGAAAATAAAGGAGGGAAAAAATTAAAGCTTTATACCACGCCACCGTCTAACCAAGTTGGGTATAGCTGAGTGACAATCTCAATATACTTCTCCATCGCCTCTTCAGGGGGCATAGCTCCCAGTTTCTGCCATGCTTGCCTGAAATAGAACAAAATCATGGCACATCCCAATCAATGAAATTGCACTCTTATAACAAACCATAATCACATAGACAATCAACTGTTACAACAGTAAAAACCACATCATCTTCCAGCACTTGCATAAGCCAAGAAGCTAACTAGGTGATATCAAGATACACCCAATACAAGTCTTCCTAGTCTATGAAGAACCTAAAAAACTCAAATTCCACCTAAAATCAAATATCAAACAGTTGAACAAAAAACCTAGAAAATTATATGTAGAAGCTAATGGCACAGAGAAATACCACTTGGCACGAGCCGTCATTTTGAGAGCTGATGGCTGAGGAGCAGTACAAGGTCCTTCCGTAGCAATCTTATACAATCCGTAAAGCTGCTGCTGCACATCGCTAGATACCTTTTGCGAAAGCCGATCTGCGGCGGCGGTAGTTACGAAAAGAGTGGCGGCGCTAAAAGCCTCATCGAGTTCCGTGCTCTCGACGCCTTCCCAATCATCATCTTCCTCGCTGTCGTCACCGACGACGCTATCACTTCTGGAGCTACCCTGCTCCGCCACAAGCGAATCCGCCTCACCACCGAAACCTCCGCTAGAAGAATCAAGGCGTCGCGAGTCAACCCCTTCTGGTTTTACCTCGAATTGAGAGTCCTCTGGGTGGCGAGTAAGAGAGAGATTGTCTTCTTTAAACGTGACGACGATCGAGATCAGCTTAGCCAGAAGGTAAGAGAAAATCAAACCCAGGATCACAGACTGAGCAAGTTGAGCCCAATCACCCATTCTTCCCTAAACCGAAATCAAATGCTCAAAAACGAATTACTCAACGCCGACAATTAAAACCCTAGAAAAGTGCAAAACAGAGTCACGAGGAGGAAGAAGAAGAAGAAGGAACCCAACGGATCTGGAGAGACAAAAAGGAACAAACTTGTGTTGGTTTTTTTTTCACCGATTCAGTCACCAAACAAAAAAAGAGAAGTACCTTTTTCGTTGTGGGCGTTAAGACTTTTATTGAATTGAAATCATATTGAATCAATTTTAAAGACGACACAAAATAAACTTGGCGACGAGTGACGACAGATCACATATGGGTCTAATTGGGGAAGATGTGGACGTGTTGTACCCTAAATTTTTTTCTTCTTTTACCAACAAAAATAAATAAATATTCGACAATAACACGTAAAAAGGTATTTGAATTTATAACAACGTTAAAATTTGTGGTGGAATCGTGGTAGAAAATAAATCTAGAAGACGTGCATGGTGTGGGGATGATTAAAGGCTTGAATCATACGACACGTAAATTGATATGTATCCATAAGCAAATAAAGGTAGACCACAAACTTGAACGCATTAGATTCACGTGAAGTGGGCATGAAAATGAAATCCCAGCTTTTTTTCTTCTTTATGGTTTATAACAAAAGACAAAATTCATAACATGATACTAAATAGTTCCACTCACAAACATTGCTTGCTCAAATGAGCATCTCATGAAGAGAAAACCAAACCAACCCACCCATATGAGTGAGTGAATCATTTTTTACATGGAATACTCATTTAAGCAAGAAACATTAGAAAGTGGAAGGAGATTTTTATCACTTTTGTGACTTTGTCCATGAGAGTAAGAGAGATGCTGACTCTATTGATATATATGAGCAACGTGACTGCACAAACTAGGGGGAATTTACGGAAGTACCCTCTACTCGAACAGGAAACTACCCACCAACCCAGGCCACCATACTACTGAACACCTTAATAATATAACTCAAGACACACTAACCAAACACTTGAACAAGACTTGTAAGTAAAGCCATGGAATGGTAGCTCAACCTTGACTTTTATCCAACAATCAAACATTCTCAAGCAAACCACATGCCTGGGGGATTCATTCCCCACTGTATAGTGTAGATTAAAACAAGGAAACAAAAAAAAAAAGGAATTTTCTCAATTACTTACCCTTTGATCTGTAAGGGGTCGCTTAACCTGTGGTAATATTTTGAAAGACTATTCGTGTTGTGCTCCATACCGGCATTGGATATTTTCCCCTTCTATGAGCTTTTCAACTGCATCGAGAGGAAGACCCACCAGCTCTAACGTCTTTTCCCACACTCTCTGTGCAGTTTCTGTGTTGTGTGCTTCTTCGGAAGGATTTGCAGGGCGGCAATCTTGAGAAATAAATGGGCAAACAGGCCAATCGTCGTTTTTTAGTGTTTCCCAATACTCTGGAATCTGAGGGTCTGTGGCCGAGAATAGAGAACTTCTACAACCTTCTTGGGGTGAAAATATGAAATATGGTATCACAGCGTACAGAGCTTGAAGAAACCTGGATAGATCCCTGGCCTAAAAAATTTGGAAACAGATAGGCAGTTCAAAGCGATAAAGTTCTGAGAAAACAGAAGAATCTTGCATTTGTAACGAAATGAAGTGAAGCTAATACTCACAACATTTGTTAGGACAACACCAGGGGATAGACATACAACGCTAACTCCTGTTTCCAGAGGCAGCTTTTTGAAAAGAATGCTACTAAACATAATCTGGAAAATGGAAGATCAGAAAGTGAGACTTAACTCACCGGTTTCTGAAAACAAGCCCCTTTCAAGAAATGGAAACTGCGGCAGATAAAAAAATTAAATGCCATTACTGTAAGCTCACCTGGGCAAGCTTGCTGCTTGAGTATCCTACAAGGCTTGAGTACTTACGTCTACCAGAAACAACATTCATGTCATCCGGGTCAACAAAACCGACACTATGCATCTACAAAAGTGAATCCCACAACCCATTATCTTGCATGAAAAAGTAATAATCAAAGACAATAAATATAAACTGCCTCAGTTTTCATAAACAGCAAGCTACAGAATTCTTCTGAAATGAGTAATGACATAATGCAGATTCTATAATCCAGTCATGGTAGTGTAATTTGGGTCGAAACTTTCAACAAGCTTGGGTTTGTATCGTTTCTCTATACCAAGACTCTGTTGATATAATATGCATATGTAGTTCAGTGATTTCGAGGGACCTATATCATTTATCTACATATTCTGCAACCAATTGACAAGACCAGAGGTTTTAAAGTTACAGAATACACAAACAAATCAAACCTTTCAACATGATTACTCATACCAAAGAGAATTTAAACTAGAGAATACAGACTTGGAGCCTGCAGTGTCAGTGATATAGAACTTACAACGGAATTCACATTAATGATTCGGCTAGGAGAGCCTCGGATCAGAGACGGCAAAAGAAGTACAGAAAGCAGCGCTGGAGCTAAATGATTCACTTGCATGTGCTGCTCATATCCTTCTTCTGAGAATTTTTGCGCCTCTGCACAAATTAGAGAACGGAGCATTTCAGATGGTTACTTTCTTCAACATATACTGCAGAAAATGTAGCATCTGACAACCAATCATTTAAAAAGAAGACCCATCAGAGAGTTCCATATACCGACAATAATAGAAGACTTGCAATGGAATAACATGCTAGTTCTCACCAATTGGGTCCATCAAGTTGGAATACTGATGATGATTATTGGTTCACATATGGAATTTGAGATCATAACAAAGAGATGATGAAAATAGATACAGTAAACAACAGAAGGGGGAAACTCAATGCTTTATAGCTAAAAAGGGCAATAAAACCAACCTCCCATAGCAAACATCCCAGCATTGTTAATCAGAACATGCAAAGGTCCTAACCGAGCGTTCAAAGCCTCGGCAAATTTTGCAACAGAATCCAGTGAGAGAAGATCAATCTCCATTGCCTTTACAAAATAAAACAGAGTATCATCATCAACTATCTAGACGTTACAAGCCAATACTTTAAGTCTCAAACTAATATACAAGAAATTGGCTTAGCCACAGTCTAACTAGTTCACATATTGTTTGAAATTTCTATAGTACAAAACACTTTATATATGTCAATACACATTCTTGACTAATTCCAGTCCCAGTAATACACATTATTAAATTGTAATAAGTACATCACCATTATAAGGTTACCTCAATATTGAGTGGGAGACCTTTACCAGACCATTCGTTCTGCCATTGCAGTATCAGCTCCTGAGCCGCCTTTGTGTTCCTTACGGCCATCACAACATGAGCGCCAGCTTCTGCAAGCTGCCTGCGAACAAAAAAGCAAATTAGCTAAAAGAAACTTAGGGAAGTTTCAGTAATTCGAGTCCCAATCTAGACCAAAACAAACTCAATTGGTTGTGAATCGGAAGTAACGGGGAAGAGAACAAACCTAGCGGTCTCACGGCCAATGCCGCTGGTGGAGCCAGTGACAACGCAAGTGAGGTCGTTGACGGGAGGAAGAGGAAGAGGGTTCTCCAAATGAGAAGCTGTGATCCTCTGGAAGAGAATCTCCCCGAAAACACTGCTCCATCCTCTCATCCACTCCATCCATCCTAGATTCTGCTTCTTCTTCGCCGGAGCTGGAGACGGAGACGACGCCGTTTCGTCACTCATCTTCTTCTTCCGGAGTTAGATCTATGACGTTGCACAGCAACAAAAGACAAAAAGTGTATTTCGTCAAAAACTATGGCTTCACTAACTCCTGGAAGATCCGAATATATGGGCCGGCGAGAGTTTTGTGACCCACAAAGATTTTTTTTTATAGAAGATAAACATTTTCAATTGACCACCGGTCATGGACTCATGGGTCAACGATTACTCATTGTTAGTGTTTTCATAATAATGTATCCGATGATTTGTATTTTGTAAGTATGAATGACATACTTATTATTAATCAGTCATAGCATCACTCTATTAATCTCCTGTCTAAGAGATGAGTGATATTTGACTACATTCAAGAAAAAGTGAGAAAATCAATCCTCAAATGGAGAGAATTGATTCTTAGATTTATGTTCATATGACAACTCTAAATCATATTGTATGATGAATCCTTGTGTGTTGGTGTCGCATGATTGTGATTGATTTCTTATTCGAAAGTGGAAAATCATTAAACAACTCTATTTCCATGAGTGTTGGTTACATTGTTACAAATAATAATAACTTGGTATTATGTAAAAAAGAAAAGTAGTTTGACAATCAGTACAAGTCAAGAGACTCGAGCACTCTACCAGCCTGGATGTGAAGAGCAGTGATTCTTTGTTCAGGATCACCTGTTGAACCAAATTGACTCGCCGCCCATATTAAAGAAGCAGATTTTTCACCCAAGAGGCGCCTGATGTCTTCATTTACACTCGCTATTGGAGATCGATCCTTCCCATTCACATGTCCAACTAACAGTAGTAAGAACTCTCCGCATCTTAACCTGTGAATCAGTAAGGAACTAAACATGACCACAAGCCTAAACCATGACCATCAGTTTTTTTGGACACACTGAATAATATCATTCACTAAATCATGACCAGTGACCTCTAGAGTTGGAACTCTTAAAGATGTATATGAGACCAAACTTGAGATGAGAATGGTTTAACTAGACGATTCAAAGGCTATACAAGAATTTGACAAGAAAATCAATCTAAACTTTACTGAAAACATAAAAACCAGAACAGACAAAAAGGAAATGAATCTTCGTTGGCAGCAGTTTTTATCTTCTAAATATACTGTAATATAACCATAACCTTAACCATATAAGAAATGCCATGAAAAAACTGAGTACAAAAACTTGTTAATTCACCTGAGGTTTTCATCAGCTTGTTTGTCTCGCATGAGCATTGCAACCTCTTCAATGCCATTGCAAGCTCCAAAATCCTGTTACCAAGAGAAATTAGAAAAGTTAAAATATAAAGCAAGTGAAGGCCAGTTTGTTCCATTGATATTCACAACCTGCTTTCTATTTCGTTTCTAATCACAAAAGTTGTTACTAAAAGACAGAAGCTGAATACTTACCACCTGATTTGCTGATGAATCCAACAATACTGAGATTAAGGCATCCAAGCAGGCTCCTTGCTCAAGTACTCCTCGTGTTGATAATACATTCATCATTACCTGAAACATTTTATGAGAATCTGAATCACATTAACAGCCCACACAACCAAGAAACTTCCCACTGCATCAATCTGATTTAAAACATGAAAGAGTCCAGCATAAGAGAGACAAAGGAATGAAAAACGATCAAAGATGACTCTCGTACACAAGAGTCTCCCTTTTCGCCAAAACAGAGTGAGAAGCGACAATTTCACAACATAAATGCAGGATTCTAGTTTCTAGAGTTCTCTATGCATCAATAGACTTAGTAATAAGTAACAAAGGAGAGTCTTTCTTACACGGACTGCACCGTGCTTATGAGCCAGAACAGTGCTCTGAGGATGGAGAAGACAGCATCCTTCGAGAACTCTAAGAGCAACCGCAACCTCAGCATCCGTAGAAGGACTCGTTATCTTCATCGGCTCCACACTGAATATATGATCCAAGCTCGTCACTCTATCATCCTCAGCTTCTTTCAATGAATGTCGAAAAAGCACCGGAACCACTGCGAAATCACGAAGCTTCCATCATCAGAGAACACATTACACAGCATCGATTTGGGTATAACAATGAGGAAATAAAGATAATCAGACATTGGAGATCGGAAATGGTTTGGGTGTGAGAGAAGAGGCGGATGA